ATTTTTCTCCTGATGCCCCTACATTTTGCACAATCCATTTTGCTACTTTAACCCTGTTGTGGGATTAAATTTGACGTAAATTTAAAATGATCTTTCTCGCCAACACTTTGTCACACAGACAGTCAACTGGCATCATTGGAAGGGTCAAGTCATGACGCTTCCTTTGATATGACACTTTACTGCAAAGAACATGTCATGCACAGTTCAACCAAGAAGAAGGGATGTACGTTTGAACACACAGTGTTTTTCTTAGTGATTTGATATTTCCCAGGAGTCATAGTTAACTTGCTTCATTTATTATTGATGCGCACAGTCTTGTAGTTTTCAACAACAACCTGCAGAGTTTAATGTACATGCTGTGAGTGACCTGAACTTTTTTTCTGAGATACTGGTGACTTGTGAAAACAGTGAAGCCTGAAATTGATGGTTTGATTTTGGTCATCTGTGCAGATTCAGGTCAAAGCTGAATTTAATACAAATTAGAATCAAAAACAGTTCCATTGACAAGTAAGTTTTCACATACAAGGAATTTGATGTGGTGATTTGGTGCATTGCAGTAAAGGATGACAGAGATTTTTTTAAAGAAGAATTAAAGATGTAAAAAGAAGGCAAGTGTTGCAGGTCAATAAACAGCAAGTGTGCAAATCCAAGGAATTGTAAGTAATAAAAACATTTGTGCGGGGACGTGCAAACTGTTCACCTGAGAATGTACAAATTGACATAGCATATGGGGTAAACAACTAGAGATGTGCAAAGGATAATAATCATATTTGAAAGTTAGTCAGCTCATCATCAAGCTCTGCAGAAGCCTGATAACGATCCTGATCATTTGAATCAGGTGTGCTGGAAGAGGGAAACATCTACAACATGCAGGACTATGGCCCTCGAGGACCAGGATTGGACACCCCTGGTGTAGAACCAGACCTACAGGACTATTATGAGAATTATGATGGTAGTTTTCCTCACCGCCTCGTCCAGGTGCTGCCGGTCCGGGTGGTCGTTGGCCGTGTGCTTCAGGATTTCCCTGAGCAGCAGCGGGTACTTCACCAACCGGCTGCGGGGAATGTCCAGGAAGTTCCACAGGTCCAACTTCCTGCTGAAGGGTGACTGGAGACAGCGCTGCAAGAAGTCCTGGACCCGCCGGTCCTGCTTCTTCTGGTCCAGCAGGGCCTTGGCTTTCACCTGGTTACTGCAGTACGCCGTGTAGGAGGAGAGGCAGGGCAGCTGCAGGGACACCAAGATAGACACCTGATTTCTGCAGAACATCTTTGATTGCGACTACATTACTTTTAAAGAACTAACATCTGGCTTCTGCAGACTGCAGCTGCTTAGAAAAACACTCACCCAGTCAGTCAAGATGTGTCCGACGTGTTCTGTGGACCCGTCAGGTTTTCTGGCGTCTCGGAGGCGACTCAGCAGGTCTGAGGAAAAAGTTTTGAACTTATGAAACAATTAAAGAGACCAGAGTGGGAATACAACTTGTTCTAGTGGCAGCAAGTGATACTGAGGTAGTTACTGCATGAGGTTAATAAGGAAACTCATCATTTCCATGAGTACTGACTCATAAATCATGTCATCATAGTCACCAAGATATGAACAAGCACAATAAACACATCGCAACAGACTGCCAGAAAGACAGTGAATAAAAAATCTGTTTTATTTATATGTACCATGCATTTCAATACCATAGTTATGCTAAAGAATGCAGAATTTGATTAGCGCACAGGGTTTCTGTTTTGCAAATTAAAAAATTTGACATGTAGAATGAAGATCAAACATTATAATTTTAGGCTTTGATTCTGTAATTTTTGCACA